GAATTCTGATCATAGACTGTGGTGTGAGAAAGAGGCCTAAAGGGAGAATGCCCGGGCCTTTGGATTTATTCTAAGAACAGTTGCCTAAATGGCAAGAAGAGTATTAAAGTATTCGCAAGAGCTATGGGTTATGAGAATGATAAGTGCATCAGTCAATATTCGAGGACGAATGTTCCAAGGGGGAAATAATGTTACACCTCATATTTTCGTACATAAAAGTACACCATGAGTAAATTGATGAAATTTCGAAAATGAGATATTACATCCCGCATTTTCGTACGTTAAAGTTTCGTCGTAAGTTAATCGTTGTAAGTTCGGGAATGAGATTATTTTGAGATTATAAGCATTATGTTATTTCAAACAAGTGACGAGTAAATTCATGAAGGTGAGAGGGTAAGCAAATCGAAGAAAATGAATTTCGTCGAAGTTTGACATTTGGGATAAAATACGGCCCGAGATAAAATACCCGGTATTTATGGACTAGTACCATACAAGGTATCACATGACCATGATAGTAAGGTGTATAAAGTGTATTAAAAGTGAGTAGTATTTTATGTAATTTGAGATAATTCTTAATTATGTGGATAATTGGGTAATTATAAATTTTTAAGTGGGAGATTAATTTATAAATTGGATTTTGTGGATAATTATTTAGGTGAAGATTTTGGATAATTCTAAGGGGACAACCTTCACGTGGGTTTATGAAGACTTGGCAGCAAGTTAAAGCCAATTTAATGACTCTTAAATTTATGTGAAAGGTGACATTTTAAGAGATTTTAAAATGGATAAAGTAAGCCTTATAAGCGGGGCCTCCACACCACTATAAAAAGGGACTTTTCTAATTCATTTCATTCTTTATAAGAAAGAATGTCATACGGATCTGCTTTGGCAAAGTAAATTAATTCAACAATATTCTTAGTCATCCCTTGCAAACACGAAGTTTATATGAGTCATCCTTATACTTTATCTTCTATTGATATCAAGAATTCACTTGGTGGGGAGTTATAGAAAGGGAAAAGCCAAGGACGAAAAGGTGAGGGATTTTGAAATTCATACGAGACTCCATATTGTAATAGCCACGGGAGTTCTTGGATTAGCAAAGGAATTCATATGAAATTATACTGCATAATAGCAACGGGATTTTGCGATTCTAAGGGTGTACGGTGCAATCTTTCTCAAGAATATCATACGGATTTTTCCCTACTTCGATCCGCCGTTACGTGTTGTCGCAATCAACTGGTGTTAAAGGGATTGTCAAGGGAATCGGTTCAGGTATATTAAGTCTATCCCTTCTTTCTTTTTGGCATGATCCGTACGATACAAACGAAACAAGCAAATGCACAACTTTCATAAATGACTCTATTCATAGAAGTATTAGAGATGCCTACGTTCTTGATTCCCCATGTGAATTATTATTATTATATCTTCTGTTCATGGGTCTCAGAAAAATACATAGTTGATAAAGATTATCTGAAAGATATATTGATCTTATTAACGTATTTCTTATGCATTTCATTCATTTATTTATACATGTACATTGACCCATAACCAGATGGCGTTATATACGCGTATATTATATGTATATGGGATATGGGAAAAGGTTACAGCGTTATATACGCACCATCACCTGATCAGCTGGTATACGTTGATGATTTACCCACAGTGGCCGAGATGATATGATGGGATGCCCTTAGAGGCTTGATGATGTTATGAACGCATATACCTATGCATGGTATGGCATTTATACGCATATGCATGACATTATAATATTAAATGATTCACAGAGCTATTCAGACTTACATGTCGAGTCTTTTACTTCATGTTTCTCTCATGTCTATTAATTACTAATTTTTATTCCTTACATACTCGGTACATTATTTGTACTAACGTTCTTTTTGCCTGGGGACGCTGCGTTTCATGCCCACAGGTCCCGATAGACAGGTCGAGAGTCCTCCAAGTAGGCTATCAGCTCAGCGGAAGATGTTGGTGCGTTCCATTTGCTCCGGGGTTGCTTGTTTGGTCAGTATGATTTAGACGTGTATTGTTTGGTATGGCGGGGCCATGTCCCGACCTTTATGATAAGTATGTACTCTTAGAGGCTTGTAGACAGATGTCATATATACGGATACTTGTATGGACTTGTCGGCGTATATTTTAAGTATATAATGGATCACATTGGCCTTATAGGCCTGTATGTCACATGTATGAGTTTCTATATCAGGTTGGGTCATCCTATGTCTAGTATTCCCTCATGTTTTATTCTAGTTATATCATGACAACCTTTCCGGCTCATTTACTTATGATAGTATGATACGAAATATACGTTACGTCGGTACTTGATTGAGTAAGGTACCGGGTGCCCGTCACGGCCCATCAGTTTGGGTCGTGACAGTCGGTTCTTCAAATATTGGAACCAAACCAAACCAATTAAATCAGTTTTTTATCGATTCAATTTTTATCGATTTTTCATTTTTTATCGGTTTTATTCTTAAATATGAGACATACAGTACCAAACACATATTCTGGCGACTACATTTTCAACGTAACACTATCAAACCAATTGATCTTTGAAAATTCTATCATTTACCAAGATATATTGATGATAATTGAATCAAATAGTAATGAATAATTTAACTACTCAATTAAAAATCTATTATTTTTAACATGAAATAAATTCTTGTACTTAGCAAAAGAAAAATACCAATAAAACTAGAATATAAAAGCAAAGAATTAGATTATTACAATTGCAAAGAACTATATTAAAAATACAAACGACTAATATATAGCATAAAATTTTAGAAACTGTATATAAAAATACACATATATATAGGTGTAATAATAAATTAAATAGCTACTTCTATAGTCGGTTTGTTTCGGTTTTTTCGATTATTTTTTGATTAAAACCAAAACCAAACCAAATTTGATCGATTTTTAAAATTAAAAACCAAAATCAAACCTAAAATGTATCGATTTGTTTTGGTCGGTTTGGTTCAGTTTTCGATTTTTCGGATTTTTATGAACCCCTACTCACAGCAAACAGGCATAATATAGTGTTTAGTGTGGGATTATGTGCTAGGTTTGAGGCAAATCCCAAAGAATCCCAAGGGGACCCATGACCTCTGTCAACTTTCTCTCTTTAACTGAAAAAAGAACTTTAAGAATGATCTTCCATTGATTGGCAGCACTTTGAGAGGTCCTTTGGAAAATAATGAAATTTCAGAAAAAGAATTACTTGCAACAAACCACCAACTGCATGCACTAAATTAAAAAGAGAATGTGTTATCTACATTAAACATTTATTATACAGAATTTAGATAGGTTTATATAGAGTTTTTGACCAATATTGTCCCTTATCTTAGAGGGTAGGTCTATTTTGGTCCCTCAAATATAACCCTGAGCATATTTAGTCTATTAAGTATACTAAAGTGGAGCACCTTTAGTCTCACTAACATAATATATTCAAAAACTAACGGTGTTACCTAACTCTGATTCATGAAGCAAATCTTCTCCTTTGAAACAAAATATTTCATCTCCTTTTATTGGATAGCGCAAATTATTACTTTAATTCCTCATTTTTAGATGATGTCTTCTAAAATTTTGACCTTGAAAATATCTCCTTCTGTGCCAGTTTTTAATGAAAAAATGACACTGTATAGCCGCTGCAAAAATAATAGCCGAAAAATATATAAAATTTGTATATATATACATTTAAAAATTTCGGTTGATTTTTAAAAAAAGAAAAGTTAAAATTTGAAAAAAATAGAGCTGCTAGGATCACTTCTAGGCATATTATTGAAGCAAACGAATAACCAAGTTATATTATCACTTTTAGCCCATACCAGAAACTATTTACATCTGGTAGCGAAAAAAGTATATAAAATTTGTATAATTTTTGTATATTAACATATAAAATGTCTATATATATATATATACAAATTTTATACATTTTTCGGTTATTATTTTTACAACGGCTATACAATGTCATTTTCTCATTGAAAACTAGCACAAAATGGGATATTTTCAAGGTCAAAATTTTAGAAGACATTATCTAAAAATGATGAATTAAAGTGATAATTTGCGTTATCCAATAAAAAGAGAGGAAACGTTTTGCTTCAGAGCAGAAAATTTGCTTCATGAATCAGAGTTGGGTAACACCGTTAGTTAACACATTGTGTCAGTGAGACTAAAGGTGCTCCACTTTAGCATACTTAAGGGACTAAATATGCTCAGGACTATATTTGAGGAACCAAAATAGACTTACCCTCAAAGATAAGGGACAATATTGGCCAAAAACTCGATTTATATACTTGTTGAATAGTTTTTTAAACTACTTTTTAGGCATTTATTATTTGTTGTGATAAACTCTATTGTGTTTACTGTTTGGTTTCTATTACTTTTTCCAGTCACTGCAACCTCCGCATAGAAATGAATGGGGAATAAAAACAAGAAGCAAAATATGGCCCATGCAGGTCTCGAACCTGCGACCTTCGCGTTATTAGCACGACGCTCTAACCAACTGAGCTAATGGGCCGTGTTGTACGAGAAATTTTATATTTTGTATATATCCAACTCTAGAAAAAATTTAGATGCTTTAACAATCTGTGTATTTCACTATCAAGTTCCAAGCTTCATTTTGCTTAAAATCAACAAATACTAATCAAATAATTTGCAATTGGTAAATAAAATGTCCAAGTTCAGTTGTCTATAGCTTGTACATATTTTGCAATTGGTAAATAAAATTTGATAATCTATTTATCAACAGCAGAAAGATAATATCAAACTTCTTAAATGCGAAAAATAATTCATCCAACACCAATAACAATCCCGTAAAATCCTACAAGTGGGGTTTGGGGAGGATAGTGTACACGCAGATCTTATCCCTACTGAGGGAGGAATAGAGAAGTTGTTTCCGATAGACCTTCGGCTCAAAATTACAAAAAGAAACATCGAAAAGTAATTAATTCATTAAAAAAAAAAAAAAGGATTCACGCGCCAGCCGATCGAAAACAACATAATCCAATTTCTTTAAAAAACAAATTACCACACAACTCCCAATTCACAATTGACTTATTTTAGGTAACAACAAAGATTCTAAATGAACAAAAATCACAATTACTATTAAAAATAACCAAACTTTTGAAACATTTGATTTAATCAGCATCATTAATTAGCACTGCTTAGTCACCTTCCTGCAATTTACTCGAATCTGGCCTTGTTTCCCGGTCAATGGCTTGATATTACCCATCTTTATCATAGACTCAGCAAAATCTTTGGAAAAAGTCCTTAAGTTCTTACTATATTTTTTAACAGGATCATCAGTTTTTCCACCACTAAATAGTGCTTGATCAGAGTGCAAAAGCCCTTTCTTGGACACCAAGTTACTAAAATATTTCGAGTCGAAAAGAGCAGGTGTTGGATCAAGGGAAGCAAGATTGGAATCACTTCCACTTCGTGGACAATTTGCTTGGCGTTGCCTTGCAAAGGTGGATTCAATGTTATTAGTCTCATTGTAGATCCGATTTCTGAAGGTGAAACACTGAGCAAACCCTAGGGTATGGCCACCGGAGAGCGCGACGAGGTCCTTCTCATCCAAACCTTGTTTCTTGAAGTTGTTGATAAGTGCAGGTAAGTCCATGAATGGAGTTGGAATGTCATTGTTGGCTGTGCTTCTACTTGCTGTAGTGGAGTCTCTTCTTCCCAATTTCACTTCCCATGTTGGTCCATGTAGCTGTTCATTGTAAAAATGTTTCAGTTTAATTATATACTGAAGGTTCATAACATTAATTTTGCACCATACACATTTAAGTGGAGAAAATCTATGATATTTGTATTGTCTATGAGGCTTGCTACTAATTCTTTATTTCATATTGAGCTTAGCGTATCTACTTATAGCCTATTTGGCCAAACTTCTAAAATCAGCTTATTTTGAAAAATATTTTTCTTAAACGTACTTTTCAAAAAAGTAATTTTGGTGATAATAAGTTTGTGTTTGGCTAATTAATTTGAAAAGCACCTTTGAATAGTAATTAGTGTTTGGCCAAGCTTTTATTTTAAGTGTATGTTTTGGAGAGAAAGTTATTTTTTTCTGCTTCTCAAAAACTAATTCTACTTCTACTAAAAAACATTTTTTTCCTTCTAAAAGCTTGGTCAAACACCTAACTTTTGAAGAAAAAAAAACTTTTGGCCCAAAAAAGAGTTTGGCCAAACAAACTAATAATCTATCTCAATTAGGAAAAATATTGACAAGTGAAAACCAAATTTATAGCTTATGTTAGGATAGAAGGGGAGTAATACGCACAGCAACTACAGAGTCACGAGCTGCAACTGCCAAGATATCCGCACAAGATACAACTGGACGTCCACAAGCTTTATCAACCTCAGACTTAATTTTATCAATCACCTCAAATCCTCTAGCAGAATTGTTATTAGCACGAGCAGTCTTTTCACTGTCAATAGTCGCCGTTTGGTCAAGAAGAATCGAAGCATCACAACCCTAATTCATTAACAAAACATGCATTAGTAACAACGTCTCAAACATTAACCAAAAGCAATGAATTCATTCCTAACTTAAAGATTTTAGGTTAAATACTCAGATGCTTTCACAAATAGAAATTGGGATGAAATGAAAAATATTGAGTGCGAGAAAAATATAAGCTTACATTAACGAAACAATCATGAAAATGTAGACGTAGCAGAGAAGCGCCCATTCGTCTCTCTTTCCGAATTGCATGCTCCACAACCCGTTTAATTGTTGGTAAAGCTTTAGGGCAAACATCCTCGTAGAAATCATCTGATAAATCCGAAAATGCCATAACTGCTAAAGAAAATATGATCAACACATGAAGAAAGAGGAAGCTACGTGAAACCATTTTTGATAATTACTACTATAGTCTATGAAATTTTACACTTTCTATGTGACGTTACTGATTTAATTTGTGTGATGATGAGAGTAAAATGGGGCTATATTTATAGGTTAGAAAAATGTTGACTATTATAACACGACAATGGTTCTAGGTTTAGCAACTCTCACAAGAAATGAGCCAGACTTTGACAATTTCTAAGAAGACAATTTTTTTTAATGTTCTGGTCTTTGGTATCAATGCATGCATGAAAAGTTCAGACTTGATAATTTTCGAAAATTATATTTATGATAACTAAGACTAAACCTACTATTTAGGTAACGTATTGATTAACACCATATCATTTTTGACTTAGTAGATACTATGGGAGGTGCTAGTTTTGGGGAAAGTATTATTAAACGTTTGAAAATTTTGTTTTTCTAGCTTCAGCAAAATATACATATATTCACGAAATTTGAAAGAACAATGATTCTAATTTGACTCTGTCTTTTAGTAATTTATACTGTTCATACTCTTAAGACGGTAAGAGATGGAATACCGAATCAATTATAGTCAGTGACAAAGATTATTTTTAGAAAAAAACACAAGAAATATAATAACTATTTTCTATGGGAATAGATATGGCCAAAAGATTTATTTCACAAGAATGGTTTCTTTAGAATGATATTATATGAGGATTAATCAAGGATTTTTGCACATTAATTATATTACAAGCAACTACCAACTCCAATTTTGGAGAAGAAGTCAACTTGTCCAAAACAAGATAAAAATATCGAGAAAAACCCTTCGAGTATCTATACTAACTTTGTCAACGTTAACAACATGGATAGAAGTTGTAATTAGTTGCAATGGGACCATGATTAGACATTGTTTAATGATACTAAACGTCTTAATTAGTTCTTTAAACAATAGAGTGTGGGATACTTGCGTTCTATTTTATTGGCTCATTCATTACTAATTAATAATATAAGGAACGTTAATTATATATTATCATATGGTCCCTCCCCATACCGCGTCTCACCGAAAAATCTTTTAAATTAAATAGAGTGAAAAGGATACGTGATCAGTAGTTAAATAACTACGTTAAATAATAAGTTTTATAAAAAGGTGTTAATTATTAGCATGATTTTCTATGCAGTGACATATATACTGGATAATGGGATTGATGAAAACTTTAGTAATTTGAACTTGGTTAGAATGTAACAACATGCAACAAGGGGAATCTTCTTACTTTAGAGAAATTAAAGTTGCATTAGAAGAAGTTATTGACAATTTAGGAGAATATAATTTAGCTTCCTTAGAGCCTAGGCTGTCTTGGTCTTCAGTTGTCTTACTTCTCTAATATGTAAGGTCTAATTAAGTCCAACAAAAAAGGAGAAGAAAAGAAAATAGAAAGTTTAAAAAAAATAAAACTTACGTCCACTATATAATGTAATACTATTAATCCAATCAACCTGCTATAGTTGATTACTTGCGTTACTTTACCAACAACGAAAAAGTGACATAAAAGAAAAGCAGGCGTTTGTACATAAGAATGTTGAAATTTCGGAAAAAGTGTGAAAATAGTATTTGAAAATTAGAGTTGTATTTGGATATGAATAAAATTTGGAGCTATTTTTAAATTATTGTGAGTGATTTGAAGTGAAAATTTTAAAAAATAGTTTTTTGGAGTTTTTCAAATTTCCGAGAAAATTCTGAAATTCAACTTCAAGTGAAATTTAAAATTTTTATGACCAAACACTTGTTACAGAAAAAAGTAAAAAATTTCCGAAAAAAACTAATATTACAGCCAAACGGGCCCTTAATAGTTGACTTAAATTGGTGAATCGATATGGCCATTGAGGTGCTTGATATTTCCCTAGGACCAAAATACTAATGTTTTAATGTTTTGTATGATCTTACAGATCTTATTACGGATATATTACTATTAGGTAAGTTTGATTCATTAACTTCTAAGTTCTTTATATGAAAATAAAAGAACAAACATAATTATCTGGTACGATTATAGGCTTATAATGGAACTTATGTACTTAAAAAATAAAAATCTATAAATCAATTTGGTTAAATACGGTTCAATCTGGTTAGTCGATTTAAAATATTTTGACACCCCTAACACCCATTAGGATGCTCGATCTCCATCGTTCAACCTTAGGACCGTTATTTGGCTTAGGACTAGCGCGCGAATTGTATGTTTCTGCCCTATATTAATACTAGATAGACGGTGCCCGTGCATTATTGTTATATTTATTCAATACTGAGAATTGATGTCCAAATATCCAAAATAATTCTATATTAAACTTTGAACTCACTATTTAGCAGCTAAAGTAGAGCAATTAATAAAAATGAGTCATCATTGGTGCTTGATACCGCTAACGTGCAAATTAGGGTGGATTGTTCGGGAATTTCGAAATTAGATATGGCAAAGTAATGACACTATATCTTGGGAATAGGCCTGGTGCTAAACATACGTTCATCCTAGTTATTCTAAAACAGCTAGCTTGACAAATTAAAATTCAAGAATTCTATTCTGTATTGCTTCTCTGCACACTGGGAAATCTAACATTAAGTATCTATAAGGGCGATGAAAATATTTTAAGTGGCTAACTGAAGCACCTATCATCGTGCTTCTAAGATTGCTAGTAAAACCTGTCTTCTACGATTGTGCTACCTGTTTTCCAACTGCATCTCACAATATTTATACTCTTGATATTCCAAGTCAGGCCATATAAAGCTTGCATACAAAATGATTTAATCAACTTGCAAAGGATTACGTTATGCTTTAATTCAAATTTTCTGTCGGATGAGGCCGGCTACAGGGTAAAATTTGGGGGACCCATTTTTTTAATACCAAAATAGGTTTATAGGCTGTTTTAGGAAAATAATGAGTAATATTTACTTTGAAAATTAGATATTTTTTTATAAAAGGAAAGAATAGATGTGTAACTAATTGATATGAGCGTAATACTTTTTATAAATGTGAATTTCTTTCAAAACTTTTTTTGTATGAACAAAAAATCTAACAAGTGAAATTATTATATTCCACTTTTTACCCATTTTTCATCAGAAAATATGTAGTACTAAATCATATTTTACACTATTCATTTTCTTTCTTGGTTTGTCCAAGAGTTAATCGCTCGCATAACTTTATACTCTTATATATTCTCTTTCTTGCTTTTTTCGGGTTTAAGTTTGATAACTTAGTAGGAGTAGTATTATTCGAAAACCCACATAGCTTAAAAGTACTATTGATATTATATATGGTGCATTATTTTTTATTTTTCCTGAAGTTTCAAGCATTTTGTGTTATTGAAGGAGCAAAAAGATATCTTGAAATCAAGTCATTATTTTTCTTGAATTAAATTTTATTATTATAACTTTTAAGTGTTATTATCATCTCATTTTATTCTTACTTCATAGTTATATATTGTCTTTTATTCATTTATTAGAATTTAAATATGCCACGAAAAATATGAATCAAGTTGTTCAAAACTAAAATAAAAGAGTTAAAAACTATTTTAATATTGTCCAAAACATTTTTAGGAGAGATCGATTATAAAAAGTTATTAATANNNTATATATATATATATATATATATAAGGGCCTCTTATCAACATTGGCTTTAGGCCACAAATACTGTTAAGCCGCCCACCAATTCCTTTATCCGAAGAAAGCAAAGAGAAGCTGTAAAATAACATCAAAAATCTGCAGCCGGAAAAAAATAATTGAAAAAACAAATAGAGAACCATCTCGCATAGTAGTTTAGAAAACCTAGGATCTTTTCAAAAGAATCGACTTAGTATAACTGCGAAAATCATTGCACGAAAAAATAACTTCACTTGGAGATGTAAGATAGTAGCATGAAACCTATGTATATATTTTGTTGTAGTTGATATTCAAAACAAACTAACCCAATCCACTAAAGAGTTACGTCTATAATAAAATAGGTACATTTATTTAGGAAAAGCACTTCAAGAACAAAATATATCAGACTACTTCCACAGCATCATCATCATCATCTAGCAAGACTTGGCAAAAAAATAAATAATAGTAGGACAAGCATAATTGAAGTCATGAATCATATTTTTTCCTGAATTTTTGTATCTAGAGGGGGCAAACTCAAAAAAGATTGAACTATAAAACATAATGCAACACACGGCTATGCACATTCCAAGCAGTTAAAGCATGTCTACTCTTATAAAAAAAAATCCAAAACTATCCCTAACATGGTAACTTTTCAGTATTCTTCTTATCCCAGTTTTTGCAATATAATTTTAGATTCTAATCATAGTGTAAACGTCTGCTGAATAGCTTTTCTTTTATCAATCTGATTTGCTTCAGTCTATTTAGTGCACGAACAATTTAATAGAAAAATACCTATACAGGATAATATTTAAAAGTTGATGCATCTATCTATATAGGCACATTACTGCAAGAATCAACTAACTTGCTATCAATAGAATCTTTTAGCAATATGAACAACAACAGTTTCTTTTTTGTAGAGACAAAAAGTATTTGAAAACAGAGAGGAATGAGCATAAGGTAGGGATAAAAAAATATCTTATAACAATATACTTAATAACCAGGAAAATGCAAGGAGCATATTGAGTACAACTCATAAGTAAGAATCACTTCTAGGAGTCAGAAAAGATTTACAAATAATAACTTACTGTAAAATTTGTCCCAACAGAGCCATAAAGCTCTATCCTTTGTAAGATTCAAGTCTCAGATTTTTTTTGCTTAAAAGAAATAGCCATAACTCAAATTGGTGGATCTGATAAGGCATTATTTTTGTTGCTTAAGTGTTTACATTTTATCCTTAAAAATGTTGTAATATCCTCATTTGCAGTCTTTTGATATTTGACTATTGAAAAAAAAAGTTCATCTATTGTTGAATCATATATCCAAAGTCTAAAAAATGCCTCATACAGAGGTAATCGCAAAAATATGTGCAGTATTTTATCTATGACGTATATTTATTGCCAAATAAAAATATAATCAATCTAACAAAAGTTTTTTTCCTGCTAACAACCTTCGAATTTTTGAGGCTCAGCTCTTAAGACTTACTTGACGCAATAGATCTGAG